GCAATGCTGTACCCAAATTAAAGTTATGTTCTTTTTTTCACACAAATAGAGATTTCTTTTGGTGGTATTTGATCGCCGCTGGGTTTTTATTTTTTGCGCTATAAACCAAAAAAGACAGAACATTTTGAAAAAAAAACAATATTTTCTCATTTCTGTTTAAAACAAATATCCAATAAACTCAAAGTTCATCAAAAATTTAGGCCAAAATGTATTTTGCTACATGTCTTTGGTAAGAAAATCCCAATAGGTGTATAATAATTTGTTTGTGTGAAAGCTATAGCATCTACAAACTATGGTATGGATACTGGAATTTACACAGGTTTTACTTTCTGACTGCCTTTCACATTTCTTGAGGTGCTAAAATGCCAGGGCAGTAAAAACACCCCCAAATGACCTGAGCTATCTGCTGAGTGGCATGCTGAGTCCATGGAAGATTTTTATTTTTCCACAACTTTTTGAAAAATGACAAAAACATTTTTTTCACAAAGTTGTCATTTAAATGGTATATTGCTAACACATACCATGGGCATGTTTGGAATTACACCCCAAAATATATTCTGCTACTTCTCCTGAGTATGGGGATACTACATGTGCGAGACTTTTTGGCAGCCTAGCCGTATACAGGAGCCCGAAATCCAATGACCCCTTTGAAAGCCTGATGGTGCGTAAATTCTTCATTTCACTTCCTTACTACTTAACACAGTTTCGGAGGCTCTGAAATTCTAGGACAACACAATGCCTCCACAAATGACCCCTTTTTGGAAAGTAAGCACCCCAGACTATTTGCTGAAAGGCATGTTTAGTCAATGGAATACTTTATTTTTTACCACGGTTTTGGAAAATTTAAAACATTTTTTTTTTACACAAAGTTGTCACTTAAAATATATATTGCTCACACATGCCATGGGTATATACACCCCAAAATACATTCTGCTACTTCTTCCGAGTATGGAGACACCACAAGTGAGAGACTTTTTGGCGGTCTAGCTGCGTACAAGACCCCAAAAGTTTATGCTACACATTACTCACTTCTAACCACTTGAATACCAAGCCTTTTCTGACACTTTTTGTTCACATGAAAACATCAGTATTTTTTTCTAGAAAATTACTTCAGATCCTCAAATATTATATTTTTTTTTTAAAGCAGACGCCCTAGAGAATAAAATTTTGAGTTTTGCAAATTTTTATGTCACATAGTATTAGCACAACGATATTTCAAAAGCAAATTTATTTTAATAAATGCACTTTTTAAAATTGTATTGTGCAAAAACACAATATATTGGCCAATTGTTTGGTAAACTTTAAAAGATGATGGTATGCTGAGTAAATAAATACAAAACACGACATACTTTGCAATGGCAACTACATACACTTTTAATATCTATAGGCGATGACTTAAAAGCCTTTACAGGCTACCATTTTAGATTTACACAGGAGGTCTAGTGCTAGAACTACTATCCTCAATCTGACGTTCGCGGCAATAGCTCACATGCATGGTGCAACTGCTGTTTACATACAGACACAGGGCCAATGCTTGCGGGACGAGGGTGCTTTTTTAAATTATTTTATTTGTATTTTTTTAAATTATTTTTACACTGTCCCTTTAATTTTTTTAAATCACTTTTTTTGTTATCACGAAATGTAAATATTCTATGTGACAGCAATAGGCAGTGACAGGTATTCTTTTCTGCGAAATCTGGGGTCTCTTAGACTCTAAAATAACCTCTGCCCTTATATCATCTGATCTCACCAAGATCGGTGTGATCAGATGCTTTCCCAATTTAAAAATGGCGCTGCTTATATCCGGCAAAACCGCAGTGATGAAATGCTCGTAGGTTCCGATTTCTTAGACTATAGAGATGATTGGCCCCATTCCGGTCTCCAATCAACTCTATGATAAGCTGGCAGACATTCCAGCTGCATTCTCAGGCTCCCTGATGGCATGGTACTACCTGAGAAAGTCGTATAAGGCAGTGGGGGGGGGGACATCTCCTCCCGCTGCTTGTAAAATCAATCCTGCGGCTAATTAGCCACTAGGATTGCTTTTACATGAAAGCCGATCGCTGCAGGCATCATCCTGGTATAGCCACTCAAAGCAGATGAAAAATCTCATCCAACAGCACTGCACACACTTACTTATCAAGACCCTGTTGCTGTCAGAATAAGCATATCAGTGCTGCAGATTTATGTCATTCCTGCAAAGAAAATAGCAATGGTTAATAAAACAGTAACTCAATAAAACAACTTTTTTTATTGAAATCTGTGCCAAAAAATATTGTAAAAAATATATACAGTTGCAAGAAAAAGTATGTGAACCCCTTGGGATTACGTGGAGTTTTGCATGAATTGGGCATAAAATGTGCTCTGAACGTCATCTAAGTCACAACAATAGAAGAACACAGTCTGCTACACAAACATTAGATGTTGCCATGGTTTAATTGCACATAACATTTAAACATTCACAGTGCAGGGAGGAAAAAGTATGTGAGGCCCTAGCTTAATGACTTCTCCCAGAGCTAATTGGAGCCAGGAGTGAGCCAACCTTGACTCCAATCAGTGTGATGATATTGGATGTGTTGCTGACAGCTGTCCTGCCCTTAAAAAACACACACCTGTTTTGGGTTTACAGGTTTCAAGAAGCACTGTCTGATGTGAACCATGCCTCACAGAAAAGAGCTCTCAGAAGACCTACGATCAAGAATTGTTGACTTGTATGAAGCTGGAAAGGGTTACAAAGGTATCTCCAAAAGCCTTGATGTTCATGTGTCCACGGTAAGACAGACTGTCTACAAATGGAGAAAGTTTAGCACTGTTGCTACTCTCCCTGGGCAAGGTCGTCCTGTAAAAATGACTGCAAGATCACAGCGCAGAATGCTGCATGAGGTAAAGAAGAATCCCAGAGTGTCAGCTAAAGACCTACAGAAATCTTTGGCACATGCTAACATTTTTGTTGACACATCTACAATAAGGAAAACATTAAACAAGAATGGAGTACATGGGGAGGACACCACGGAGGAAGCCATTACTGTCCAAAAAGAATATTGCAGCACGTTTGAAGTTTGCAAAAGAGCACCTGGATGTTCCACAGCACTACTGGCAAAATATACTGTGGACAGATGAAACCAAGATTGAGTTGTTTGGGAAGAACACACAACACTATGTTTGGAGAAAAAAAGGCACAGCACACCAACATCAAAACCTCATCCCCACTGTAAAACATGGCGGAGGGAGCATCATGGTTTGGGGCTGCTTTGCTGCCTCAGGGCCTAGACGGATTGTTGTCATTGATGGGAAAATGAATTCCAGAGTTTATCAAGACATTTTGCATGAAAACATACGACCATCTGTCCACCAACTGAAGCTCCGCAGAGGATGGGTGATGCAACAGGACAATGACCCAAAGCATACAAGTAATTCAACAAAACAATGGCTGCAACAGCACAGAATATGCCTTCTGGAGTGGCCCAGTCAGAGTCCTGACCTCAACCCGATTGAAATGCTGTGGCATGACCTTAAGAGAGCGATTGTCAGGAATGGACTTGCCAGTAATGGTGGGACTCACCTGCCTTGTGGGCTGCAGTACCAGGGCTGGCCAGCGGGTGCTCCCAGCAATCAGAGACTCAACCCTGCAGCCAGCCAAACACCTGAAGCTGATTATGTAGGTGTATTTAAGGGATGGCCAGACCTGCAGTCTGCGCCTTGGTGTGTGTTTTCCTGGCCCCTGTATCTTGTTACCTGCATTCCTGTTCCTGTTCCTGTCCCTGTCTGACTGATTCGTTGCTGACCCTGCCTGATCTGGACCTCTGCTGACTTCTCCTGTTTCATCCCTGGCTTGTGACCCCGACCATTCTCTGCCTGACCCCCTGTACCTACCTGCCCGTTAGTTGCTGTACCCGGCTCGTGACCTGACTACTCTCTGCCTGCTCCTCCTGTTCCTACCTGCCTGATTGTTATTGACCCGGCCTGCCTGGCGACGCTTGCATTGTATGTATTGTTATCTGTGGGTGGTTTGGTTCATTTGCACTGTGTTATGTTTTAGTATTGCACTGCGTTTATGTATTGTTAGTGTTAATAAATTATATTGTTTATAACACATCTGGAGCCTGCGTTTCCCTGCGTCAGTTCACATACCTCTGGTCATACCCGGAGCCCTGACATTACACCAAGGCCAATCTTGACCAGAAGTGGCTGCACAGGGAAGCCATCTTGGCTTTTGTTGCTGTAGGATGGATCTTGATGAGGTTGTGTATTTATCTCTGCTAGTGTTTGATGACAGGGATTATGCTTATCAGACTCTGAAGGAGTATCTCCGGGATCAATTGCTAGAGTGTATAAGGATTGCTCATTGCCTAGTAGATCAGGGCACAGAATTCTCTGAGGTGCAGCCATTGATTCAGGTTTGTGCTGAGTTGGTTTCATCTGGTACCCCCGAATGCAGGGATGAATTTTTGCCGCCATTTAGTGCCGACCAGGTAGAGTCCCTGGTATGGTTATTAGAGGATGATGTGGGATTACTTTCTGGAGCGTTATTCTGCATGTTCACCACAGGTACTAAGAGATTGTATAAACGCAGTGCAGTCTTTGACCAGACAGGCTTTGTGTAAGCTGAGCTTTGTTCAACCCATACTGCAGACATGGTCAGACTTGTTGCACCCAGCCTCAGTCAGCTTACAACATCATTCCTCCGCTCAAGGCACTCTTCCTACATCCCCGACAGGACCCCCAGTGACTGCCCAGTATACTCTAACTACCACATATCAGTCCTCTGTTCCCACTCGCTGCACCTATCCTTTCTTTAACCCTGTAGAAGTCCTCTGTAGCAACTGCTCCCTCCTCTGTTCCATCCTCCCGCTTTCCTCTGTCCTCAGCTGCTCCCATTCGTTTGCAGACCTGCGTTTACTTGCAGTGCTCCAGTAGTTAAAACCAGAAAAAAGCGAAAATTCTTTCCAACCAGTACCATCCTGCCAGTACCCAAACCGGTGAGCCTGCCGTCTGAGAACCTGCCACCCGCACTTCAGCCTGATGTTTCTACCCAGCCTGATGCCTCCATTCAGCCTGATGCCTCCATTCAGCCTGATGCCTCCATTCAGCCTGATGTCTCTACCCAGCATGATGTTTCTACCCAGCCTGATGAACTGATCCAGCCTAATGATCCTATTATGCCAGTTGACTCGATGCCGCTGCGATCCCTGTCGAGCCAGACAATCCCATGCCTGATGACCCAGTGCCCGCTGTCATGCCTGGTGACCTGGATGCCCGCTGTCGAGCCAGACGATCCAATGGCTGACCCAGTGCCCGCGGTCATGCCAGTTGACTCGGAGCCCACTGTCGTACCTGGTGACTCGGTGCCCACTGCCTTGCCAGATGACACGGTGCCCGCTGGTGAGCCAAATGACCTGATGCCTGGTGACCAAGTGCCCGCTGTCATACCTGGTGACCCGATGCCCGCTGTCGAGCCAGACAATCCCATGCCTGATGACCCAGTGCCCGCTGTCATGGCCTGGTGACCCGATGCCCGGTGTCGAGCCAGACGATCCAACGCCAGATGACCCGGTGCCGCTGTCGATCCAGATGATTCGGTACCTGATGACCCGGTGCCCGCTGTCGTGCCAATTGACTCAGAGCCCACTATCGTGCCTGGTGACTCGATGCCCACTGCCTTGCCAGATGACGCGGTGCCCGCTGTCGAGCCAAATGACCTGATGCCTGGTGACCCAATGCCCGCTGTCGAGCCAAATGACCTGATGCCTGTTGACCCGATGCAGGCTGTCGAGCCAGACAATCCAATGTCTGACCCAGTGCCCGTGGTCATGCCAGTTTGACTCGGAACCCACTGTCGTGCCTGGTGACTCGGTGCCCACTGCCTTGCCAGATGACGTGGTGCCGCTGGCGAGCCAAATGACCTGATGCCTGGTGACCCCATGCCCGTTGTCGTGCCTGATGACCCGGTGCCTGCCGCTCCGCCTGGGGGCCCAGTGCCTGCCATCCCTCCTGGGGGCCGGTGCCTGCCGCTCTGCCTGAGGGCCGGCGCCCGCCGCCCCTCCTGGGGGCCCGGCGTCCGCCGCTCCGCCTGGGGGGCCCGGTGCCCGCCGCCCCGCCTGGGGGCCCGATGCCTGTCGCCCCTCCTGGGGGGGGGCCCGGTGCCCGCCGCTCCGCCTGGGGGCCCGGCGCTCGCCACCCCGCCTGGGGGCCCGATGCCTGTCGCCCCTCCTGAGGGCCCGGCGCCCGCCGCTCCGCCCAGGGGCCCGGTGCCCACCGCCCCTCCTGGAGGCCCGGCGCCCGGTGGTCCGCCTGGGTGCCCGGCACCCGCCGCTCTGCCTGGGGGCCCGGCGCCCGCCGCCCCGCCTGGTGGCCCGATGCCTGCCGCTCCGCCTGGTGGCCCGGTGCCTGCTGCTCTGCCTGGTGGCCCGGTGCCTGCTGCTTCACCTGGTGATCCGATGTGCCTCTGCCCGGAGTCCAGCTCGATGTGCCTCTGCCCGGAGTTCTGCCTGATGTGCCTCTGCCCGGAGTCCTCCCCGATGTGCCTCGCCCGGAGTCCTGCCCGATGTGCCTCTGCCCGGAGTCCTGCCCGATGTGCCGCTGCCCGGAGTCCTGCCCGATGTGCCGCTGCCCGGAGTCCTGCCCGATGTGCCGCTGCCTGGAGTCCTGCCCGATGTGCCGCTGCCTGGAGTCCAGCCCGATGTGCCGCTGCCCGGAGTCCAGCCCGATGTGCCGCTGCCCGGAGTCCAGCTCGATGTGCCTCTGCCCGGAGTCCAGCCCGATGTGCCGCTGTCCTGGAGTCCTGCCCGATGTGCCGCTGTCCCCCGATGTGCCGCTGCCCGGAGTGCCCGATGTGCCAGTCTTTGATATCCCGCCAGTTACCAGACCCGGGCGGTGGAACATTTTGCCCAGTTAGGACTGTTTGGAGCGTCCTGAGGCCGCTCCTTGAGGGGGGGGTACTGTCAGGAATGGACTTGCCAGTAATGGTGGGACTCACCTGCCTTGTGGGCTGCAGTACCAGGGCTGGCCAGCGGGTGCTCCCAGCAATCAGAGACTCAACCCTGCAGCCAGCCAAACACCTGAAGCTGATTATGCAGGTGTATTTTTAAGGGATGGCCAGACCTGCAGTCTGCGCCTTGGTGTGTGTTTTCCTGGGCCCCTGTATCTTGTTACCTGCATTCCTGTTCCTGTTCCTGTCCTTGTCTGACTGATTCGTTGCTGACCCTGCCTGATCTGGACCTCTGCTGACTTCTCCTGTTTCATCCCTGGCTTGTGACCCCAACCATTCTCTGCCTGACCCCCTGTACCTACCTGCCCGTTAGTTGCTGTACCTGACTCGTGACCTGACTACTCTCTGCCTGCTCCTCCTGTTCCTACCTGCCTGATTGTTATTGACCCGGCCTGCCTGACGACGCTTGCATTGTATGTATTGTTATCTGTGGGTGGTTTGGTTTGGTTCGTTTGCACTGTGTTATGTTTTAGTATTGCACTGCGTTTATGTATTGTTAGTGTTAATAAATTATATTGTTTATAACACATCTAGAGCCTGCGTTTCCCTGCGTCAGTTCACATACCTCTGGTCATACCCTGGAGCCCTGACAGCGATTCACACCAGACATCCCAAGAATATTGCTACACTGAAACAGTTTTGTGAAGAGGAGTGGTCCAAAATTACTCCAGATCGTTGTGCAGGTCTGATCTGCAATTACAGGAAACGTTTGGTTGAGGTTATTGCTGCCAAAGGAGGGTCAACCAGTTATTAAGTCCAAAGGTTCACATACTTTTTCCTCCCTGCACTGTGATTGTTTACATGTTATGTGCAATTAAACCATGGCAACATCTAATGTTTGTGTAGTATTATGTTCAGCAGACTGTGTTCTTCTATTGTTGCGACTTAGATGATGTTCAGAGCACATTTTATGCCCAATTCATGCAAAACTCCACGTAATCCCAAGGGGTTCACATACTTTTTCTTGCAACTGTATGCCGAAGCATAAGGGCGATCCACCCACCAACCACCCCAGGCCCCCATGCTTGGGCATATATGTCCTTTTTTTTTACTGCGGATGAAAAATCTCATCCAACAGTGCTGCACACACTTACATATATTCTGAGATCAAATCCCTGTTGCTGTCAGAAAAAACAGATCAGTGCTGCAGCTGCAGCTGAATGGCATTCCTGCAAAGAAAACAGCAATGGTTAACAATAAAACAGTAACTCAATAAAATGACAACTATTTTTTTTTTTTTTTACTTTTTTATTTTATATGGGGTTTTTTTTATCATCTGGTCATTGAAGTCCACAGAGTGTGTTGTCATTGAAATGCATAAATTGCATTATATTCACATATCTATGCCTGGCCATAGCAGCAGAGAGAACACGGGCATATGATGAATTGGGTCTGTGGACCAATACAACCATAATTAATTTGTTTTACTGTTGCCCATGTTGAGAGTTAGGCCCAAAAAAACTTTAAGTTCGGAAACCGTAATAGGTTTCCATGCAAATGGTCTGGCAAGGTTTCAACTTGGGTTGGTGGCAATAAATTATTGTTCGTATAAATTGCTTTGATCCACAATCAATCCATACAGATCTTCTGTGAAAAACAGCTCCAAAAAAGGGGAGTAGTTAAATTTGCTGTTTCCACCTGAATTCCAGTTTGAGCAGTGAATGGGGGAAGTACGGGTGCTGCAGAATTTGTGGGCTGCCAATCGAGATTTGCAAGCACATCCGGAAGGACACTATGGGCTCTACGGGCAGTGTTTGAATTCTTGGTGGCTGAGGGACACTACTTGTGCTAGCCACTGCACCAGCTTGTACTGCACTTTCTGGGACTCCCCACATCACCAAATGATACTGCAGTGCTGGTATGTATAAGACCAGGATGTACTTGGCCGCTGTTGCTCGCCAGTTCACCAAAAGGTAGAGCGGCACTCATACTGGCACTCTGCTGCATATGAGAATCATCATGCAATTGTAACACCTCAGCAATCTGGGAACTGGGTCGGGTATGCCTGACCTTAGCAGGGACCTCTACTCCATTGTCGGAGCTATCTGTCAGGGTGCCGCTGCTCTCTACAAGTCCGTATTCTGAGCCTGGTTCTGTCAGTGAGGCTTCACCTTCACTCTTATCTGACATGCTCAGAATTATGTAGGCCTCTTCACTAGAGTACCTTTCGTTTGACATTTTAGCCACTAAATTTATAGGTACCTAGTGCAACTCAAGAGAAAAAGAGCACCTGGCTGACAGGGACTTCTTGAACCGCTACAAAAAATGTACCTGCAAGTGCTAGTGATCTACTGACACTGCACTTGCTGGGGGAGAAGGGGGAGGACTAAATGCAGGTGCTGGCAGGTTCCGGGGCTGATCCTGCTAACACTGCATCTTTGGGGACACTATACTAGCAATGGAAATTTATTGTGTATGTGAGCGTGTTCCTGGCAATCAAAGGGTTAAATGTGATGAGTGAGGTAGTGGCGGGCAATCTGACATTATCTGTGAGGAACGCTAACTGACGCTAACGCTATCTGAAGTCGCCTGTGACATTAATACAGCGATCAGTAAAAAAATATATACACTGTACTAATGACACTGGTGAAAGGGCAGTGAAAGGGTTAACTGGGGGCGATCAGGGGGTTAAATGTGACCTATCAGTGCTTTTACTGTCTCAGCGTAGTGCTCTGACTCACCTGTATCTGTTTTCTTCTCTCTCTGGAATAGAATGTGCACCAGGACGAGAAGATTGCATCATTTCCTGTGCTTGTGTAATGTAAACACAGGCACAGGAAGATATGTGACAGGGCACTGATCTCTCAGCAGATCCAGGCCTAGCATCACTGGCCTGAATCTGCTGACCGATCGGTGCTGTACAGAATCACAGCACCGCCGGGGTGGTGGGTGTGTGAGCTTGCCCCTTACCCGCAAACACGGCGGGAGTGTGGATCAAGTTTATATATGTGATTTTGCACAGGGAATCCGCTCTGTAGCAGTAAACCTGCTATAGGGTGGAGCTTAACCGGTTAAAAATAACAATCGCAATACGTGTACCATAACCAAGCAATTGATAGAATATGAGGGTAACAGATGAGCAATTGTGACAATATTCAAACAAAAAAGTGGGGGCGCCACCTCCAGTTCCACACTATAAATAAGGAGAAGCTGCCTTACAAAGTGAAAAAAACACTATAGATATTAATCTAAGAAATATATATGAATATGCCCCATATAAAATACTGGGTCATTGCACAACATTTCTTACATACAGTATAAAGACAAAATAAATAATGAATTACATAATGTTATACAGTATCTAGAAGTGAAAGATACCTATTTATCCACAGCAGAAAATTTCGAAAACAATAACAAAAAAGTGTAATTTTATGTTTTTCAGAGAATATAAGAATTGCTGCCAAGGAGTAATGCAGAAAAAGGAGAAAGGGAAAAGGAGAAGAAATACCCAGCAATAGGTAACTTTATAACCAATTAGGAAATATAGGACTAGTCACAGAATTAGAGATTAACCCCTTCACCTTGACCAGAGTAAAACAGAAAAAATCACCAGAGCTAATGGGCAAATAATGGAATCAAAAGGAATATGACATAGTTTTCTTCAGATACCTGTGAAAAATGTCCTAATTTATCTAAGCACTTGTAGCATATGTAATTGTGCATACGATGTAGGAATAAAATTGTATTGAATGTGTATACTGTAGCTATCATTAAAGAAAACTGTTTAAAACCCTACTGTGGTAATAATCTTGGTCAATTATACATGGAGGGATATTGTAATGCTCATATGCAGTCCCCCCTCAGTAAAATAATGAGCTGTGTTTCCCCAGTAATGTAAGCGGTTGTCTGCCCCCCCCCCCCCCCCCAGTATTGTAAGTTGATGTGTTCTCCAGTAATGTAAGCTGCTGTGTGCCCTCTCAATAATGTAAGGTTCTGTGCCCCCCCCAGTAATGTAAGGTGCTGTGTTCCCCCAGTAATGTGGCGTGCCTCCCCCCCCCCACAGTAATCTAAATGCTGTGAGCCCCCAGTAATGTAATGTGCTGTGCCCCCCCCAGTAATGTAATGTGCTGTGTTCCCCCTGTAATGTAAGTGACTTTCTTCCCCCCCTCCACCACCACCACCACTAA